GTCCGCCGGTTATCTGTGGCTTCTCCGCTCCCGTCTTTGGCTGCTGCGCGGCTGGCCTCAATCCTGGCGTCGCATGCCCAGATGAGCTTTTGGCATCCAACTATCAGCATCACACCACTAGAAGAATCGAGTCTACTTACCTGTGGTTGTGGATCGCAGCTTGTATGAGCTGGACACTGCTGAGCTCTTGGGGGGGGGACAAACAAACAAAAAAAACAAAAGTCATTCTTGAACGGGGTTCTTCCAATGCACCCATTTTACCTCCTGAAGCGTGCGAGTAGCCAAACTTGGTTTTGGCAAGTGGAGACCCGAAGGCGGCACGGCGCCTCGTCTTGGAAGCAACGTCGACGGCTTGAACTTCTGCAGCAGCGATGGCGCTTTGGAGAAAGGCGGCAGCGATTTGGCGGCCGGTAATATTTTTGGAGTACAGATTTCCGAGGCAACGTCGGGTGTCGCCTGAACTTCTGGCCTACCGACGGTCTCCCCGTCGGGTTTTTGGGAAGACGCCAGCAATTTGCTCTCATCTGGCGAGGCGCAGAAGGTCATTTTACAATTGGTCAACGGCGTTGACGTGACGAAATTTCCGTGCCTTAAATCGAGCGTGTCGTCAAAATTAAAGCCTCTGCTGTTGTTATCGGCATCCAAGCTTTGGTCGTGGGTCGGCAACGTGGAATGATGCTTGGCCTCACGTCGCGCCGCCCTGGATGCTGATGCTTCGCCAAGATTGGCATCAAGCACGCCTTGAGGCGGCTCGACCGCCCCGGCGTCAGCATTGCCGTCCGGGCTGCTGGGGCCAGGGGGAGGATTCGGGTCGAGGGTGTTGGGCTGACAGTCACGAGAACGGCTTCCGGACGTGACGTTTGCGCCATTGGGTTCGGAAGGAGGCTTGGCATCAAACGTGTCGTGGCAAACCTCTCCCGAGAGGCTTTGGGACATGCTTATCGTGCCATTGGAAGCGGGACGTGCGGCGCCCGAGGCATTTGAACGACTGTCGCTTGAGCTCCTCGGCGCGTCAAAGGCGTTTCGGTGACCGTCACTCAACTGGCTCGCCGACGCGCTCGGTTTTCCAGGCCGGTCGTCACTTGAGTAGCTTTCTGACATGGTGAAGGTGCCGTGCGACTTGGGAAGTTGAGCGTCAAAGGTGTTTTGAAGGCCGTGACTTGAGCTGCTTTCCAGCATGGTGAAGGTGCCGCTGGACTGAGAGGGAGGCTTCGCATCCAAAGTGCGGCAGCAACTGTTACCGGAGCTCCTCCCCGGCGTGCTCACTGTGCCATCGTCCTGAGAGTGCGGGTTCGTCTCCGGGGCGCCGTTTGAGGTTGTGTCGGGCAAGGCCGTCTCGCGACTGGATCGAGGCGCTTCCGCATCGCAGGTATCACGGCAACAGTTGTTCGGACCCTTTTCTGACATCGATAACGTGCTCGTCGACTGAGAGGGAGGATTTCCATCAAAGGTATCCCAAGAGCTGCTTTTGCCCCCGTTGCAGTGAGATGGCGGTTTAACATCAAAGGTGTTGTGGTGACTGTCACTCAAACTGCTTTGCGGCGGCGTTACGGTTCCACTAGATGCAGACGGAAGCTTGGCATCAAAGGTCTCGTGGTGGCGGTCGGCGGAACTGCTGTCTGACAACGTTATCGTTCCGCCGGCCCAACAGGGAGGTTTCGCCTCAAAGGTGTTGTGCCGAATGTCGCTGGCGTTGCTTTCTGACAGAGCTCCATTCGCCTGAGAGGGAGGAGTCTCCACGACACCTTTGACGCAAACCTCGAAGGTGTCGTGGTGGCCGTGGTCCGGCGAGTGAGAAATTGTGCTGGCATCTCCCATCGCGCCGGTCGTACACTCAGCTGTGTTGCCAGAGGGCAGGCCGTCCTGTTCCGCAGGTCCTCTCCCCAGGGAGGGATCTTTATCCTGGGATGTTGACGCATCGCATTCGTTGCTTTGCGTGAAGCTGAGCTGCGATGCGGCTAAGGGGGAAGGCTTGGACGATTCATCAAGGGTTGCCGCCCTTGCTAAATTCGACTCAACGCTCGCCTTCGGTGCACCGCTGCAAAGCAATTGCATGTCGGAAGGAGATACGTTGACAGTGAAGTTTACACTCTGCTCCATGAAGGAATCAAATGAGTAATCGGTACAGTCCGGTAAGCTCTCATTGTACAACCAGAAGATGGAAGCATTTGTCTCCGGTTTGCGTGCTTGGCTGCCGTTCGCTTTTCCCTCCGTCCTTGGCGTCTGGAAGGAAGCCAATTTAGAGTTGCTGTTCATGATTTCCACCATCGTACCAGGCTTTCTGAACGATGTCCTTGCAATCAGAGGCGTTGCCGGCAGGTTTTTCAGTAGCGAGATCTCCTCCATTGTGCGATGATGCGTGTTGTCATTTTCTGTGACTTCAAGGAGACTGAGATCTGGGAAGTCACGCTCATCCAAATAGTGCCTCTTAGCTGGTGGCGTTACTCCTGGGGGAATGTTTTCTGTCGTTTCATCCGCTTCTGGACTTTCCACAACAGAAGAAGAACACCCCGTCGTCAGATCAGCCATCGTCGACGTCCTGCCGTCGGCAAAGACGACGTTATTAGACTTCAATTGGGCCTGATCGACGGGCAGATACTTTCTCAAATATCTGCAGCCTGCAGATGAAAAGCACAGCGTTTCATTTCATTTGGTATGCCACAATTACGACAGATAGCGCTTAAAAAATAAAATTGTCATGAAAAAGCTGGGGGGGGGCGGGTTTCTTACTCATTTCTGAACGTGAAACCCAATTCCATAGAATAATTTGGCAGACGCAGAAGCTTTTTTTCTTGCACGTTGCTTACAGATGATGAATACCCAACATTCAGCGTCTCAGAGAGTATATTTTCCAGAGCCTATAGAAAGTCAATTTTCATTCGCTTTGACGGATGCCATAGCTTTTCTTCATTTCCACTTCATCAGCAAGCCCTATCGGAGCCTGATAATGATCCTGAGCATTTCAATCAGGTGTGTTGCAGCAGGCAGCCATGGAAAACCTGCAGGACACCGGCCGCCGAGGACCGGACTTGACACCGGTGCTGAATCCAGTCAAATGTTGGTGATAACAGTCAAGTTATTCCTGCGGACATCCCCACAGTGACAACTCAAGCCCAAGCAAACTTTTGCGAGTGTTGGCTAGATTATGGAATAGTGCACGAGACGCTCCATGTACAGCACTTTGTATGCAGCGACGGCTGTTTGAAAGTGCTCTATAAATACAGTTGAGTTGAGACATGCATTTCTATTTTCTGAGGCATTGAATTTTTGATTTCTCTTAACCGTGTCTGAGAGCCATAATCATACATTGGCTAATACTAGAGGCTTGAAATAGGGATATTTCATTCTGAATGGAATGACATGGGTTTCACATTATGAAATGAGTTTCGAAAAATATTTTTTCCATGTTATTTTTAGATGTCGGATGTATCACGCCCACACACACTCACAAATGAAGATGTACGTGTATCAAAAGATAACAAGCGGCAACGTTTGTTGTCCCAATTGTGACAACCGTTAAAAGATGTCTTTGGGACGTCCGTTGTCAGAAAACTACGTACCCAACACAGTTGATCTTCGACTCGCTGACTCGTCAAGTATGCATAACGTCTGTATGCGTACAGCCTGACAACATCCACAAAAGAAAAAGACGGCAGTGGCTTTGGGCTTGCTGAAATAACTACCATTTAATTTGAAACGACTTTCAATAAGTTTCCAACCAATCACAGCAGCGAGTACCTTTCTTCGCGTATGTGACATCAGTTTTGCCTATACCGCCCTCGTTTGCCTTGGTGGGTAAACTGCACACATGCGTCAAAAATGTGACAAAAGCGCCCCTTAGCGGACAGATAGGGAGCATGTTTGCGTCGATGGATTTTCGCGCTGAAATGAGGGTTCCGGTGTCCTAAACATCATTCACTCGCAATCCCGGGGAATTCTTTTTCTTCGTGAATGACTAAACAGCAAATTGAGTTGCACTTTCTTGACGTTATCTGATGACCTTTCTAGACAATGCCTTTCTAATTCGTTTCCTTCCAACGCAAAAAACGTCTGTATGCGTACAGCCTGACAACATCCACAAAAGAAAAAGACGGCAGTGGCTTTGGGCTTGCTGAAATAACTACCATTTAATTTGAAACGACTTTCAATAAGTTTCCAACCAATCACAGCAGCGAGTACCTTTCTTCGCGTACGTGACATCAGTTTTGCCTATACCGCCCCCGTTCGCCTTGGTGGGGAAACTGCACACATGCGTCGAAAATGTGACAAAAGCGCCCCTTAGTGGACAGATAGGATGTTTGCGTCGATGGATTTTCGCGCTGAAATGAGGGTTCCGATGTTCTAAACATCATTCACTCGCAATCCCGGGGAATTATTTTTCTTCGTCAATGACGAAACAGCAAATCGAGTTGCACTTTCTTGACAATGCCTTTCTAATTCGTTTCCTTCCAACGCAAACACTTCAAATGTGTTTTTCCAAATTTTATTGAATCTTGAAGAAACGGAATAAAGGACCCCAGAAGATGTCCGCTTAAAGCATCAACTCCAGCATCACTCGAAGCTGCTTTTGGTGTTTGGTCCCCCTGTGATGACTCTCCTGCTTGATTGCGTGTGTCACATCGCTTGTCACGTCCGGGTTTGAGGCCTGCCAAGTGTCCTCTAAGGGGGATCAAACAACAGAAATAGAAAGGAGAATTCACTTGTGCTCTGTCTTCTACCGTTGTTCCCCGGTAGGTAGGTATGACGACGCAGGTATAAGGACAGTAACTTTTCATGCACCGTGGAGTGGAGCGGAATAACGTTTAGCTCACATCTAACATTGCACAACACAGACCTATTCAGGATGACGTCACACGTAACGACGTCAGCAAATCGAGTTGCACTTTCTTGACAATGCCTTTCTAATTCGTTTCCTTCCAACGCAAACACTTCAAATGTGTTTTTCCAAATTTTATTGAATCTTGAAGAAACGGAATAAAGGACCCCAGAAGATGTCCGCTTAAAGCATCAACTCCAGCATCACTCGAAGCTGCTTTTGGTGTTTGGTCCCCCTGTGATGACTCTCCTGCTTGATTGCGTGTGTCACATCGCTTGTCACGTCCGGGTTTGAGGCCTGCCAAGTGTCCTCTAAGGGGGATCAAACAACAGAAATAGAAAGGAGAATTCACTTGTGCTCTGTCTTCTACCGTTGTTCCCCGGTAGGTAGGTATGACGACGCAGGTATAAGGACAGTAACTTTTCATGCACCGTGGAGTGGAGCGGAATAACGTTTAGCTCACATCTAACATTGCACAACACAGACCTATTCAGGATGACGTCACACGTAACGACGTGAATCCCTACAGTTCAAAATACATGATCATTTGTGCCGTGCCAGTCTTCCAGAATATTTCGATTTCCATTCATATTGATCGATGGCGCAGCCCTCCATCAAAGCGCCCTCAAACCCGCATTGCAAGACGGGCACGCCTCTTTTCTCGGTTGGTCATGTGACGTTTGCAATGCGAGTCCGAGGGCACGTTTATGTCCATTTCAGTTGATAGCAGAGGGCGGTGAGATTGCACATTTCACACTTTTTTTCCCACGATTTCTTACCTTGACCTTTGCCATGAACTTTGACCCTTTGCCTCTTCCGCTTCTTCCCCTGAAACACACACACGCAGAAGTTAAGTGCGCTTTGGTTGTGCTCTCTCCAAGTATTTGGACTTCGTTACTTGCCGCCAACGGTGCTCAGAGGCGCGGTGGAGCGTTGCGGTCACGTCGACTTACGTAGTTTTCAGTGCAGGACCAATCGGGATGCTGTTGGCTGTGGAGGAGTTTGGCAGCGTCGGCGAGCTCGTAGTATTTCCTCTGCTGCTTTTTGCTCAGCGACTTCCACTGCGCACGTGCGACAGACATCATCACTCGGTGGCGCATCGGCCGTCCGGGCGCATTTGCGCCCCTTGGCCAGATTTCGGGCGCTCGTGTTGCACACTCACCATCTGTCCGACCACTTTGTTGACATCGGCGCTGTTTCGAATGTTGAGCAGAGCGACGACCTTTGGCCTCTGCTCCTGCCGGAACAGCATGAAGGCGTTGAGCGGCTTCTTGATGTAGCCTCCTCGGTTTTTCTTTTCATCCCGTTGCGCTTCGCCCTCCGCTCCCCGACTAGAGCGGTTCAGACGGACGGCGGGGAATGTGAATGAAACGCAGCATCTTCGCCTACAATATCAATCGACTGTCGTCATCCCTTGCAGGATTTGGGGTTCACGATTTTTT